AAATTTATTCAGACTATTTCGTGGGCTATCGGTTGGAGGGTCCCAGATACCATCGCACAGAAATTTTAGGCTCCAACACATCTCTTCGAATCAAATATGCAACCAAGAGCTTCGGCTCTTCACACCTGCGCTTTGCCGGCTGGGATGATGCGTACCAGGACTTGATCATGTGGGAGCAACTTACGGACGCAGCTCGTGGAGCTCTAAACAACGACGACAACTTTGGAAAAGCAGAAGTTCCGTTCAGTGATGAGCATTACGAAAACCACCTCGAGAATGCGTACTTGAATTAGATTTGTTTCTATCTGAAGTACTACAGCTACAAGATAAAGTCGCTACATTTGGAGTTGTTAAACGATGTATATGGTCACTGCGACTTCAAAAGCTACTTCAGCGAAGGAACGTAAGATCGCGAAAAGGATACAAAACCTGACGTCGTTTTCAACAAATTAAAACTTGAGAGGAGAAAGGAGAACCTCGACGACAGGCCATTATTTCGTCGGTAGGTACAATATGTTCAAATGTACCAAAAGAGAAAAAACTAATTTTTCAGACTATGTACATGGTGCTGAAGCAATCCAATTCGGAGGAAATGCTAGTGGAGTCGTTCGAAATTGAAAAATCTTGCTAACACGCTCCAGATGAGCATGTACATGTGATAACCTTCTAGTCATGGAGAAAGTTTGGCTTAAGTCCCGAGAAAATCCCGAGGAAGTCTTCAGTATTTTGCATGTCCGTAATGATCTAGCAAAAAGCGCGAAATTCATTCCCTGGCTTCGGTACACGGAAATGTACAGGATTTGGGATTAACTCGTTTTCGGACTTTCAGATACTATAGTTTTTCTCGATGTCGAGTTTCCCGGAAGCGAAACTTTGAATTTTCATGCAACAATTGAAAAGTTTTCCCGAATTCGAGAAGCTTGCTGACAACGTGCAGAAAATGTTGTTCCAGAAATGTATACAAATTCACAAGAAAAACTCCGGGAGTTTTTGGAAGATTATCGGGATCTCCATACAGTTCTGGATTAGAGATTTTGCGCCTTCTCAAGACAAATGCACGATTCAAAATATTGGAAGGTTATACGTTACAATATGTTGCAGACATTGAAGGTGATGTCATGATGATAGCCGTTAAGCATTTATTCGACAACGATAAACCTCAAGCTGCGTTTGTATTCGCTATGAAATCGGAAAATGTTCGCTAGTGTCGACTGTAATTGCGCGGCAATACACACCGTAAGCCCAGAAGTAGTACTAGTACATAGTAAGAAACTGCCGTGGTGATACTGATTAATTGTACCACATAATTAACATGAACTAAGACCCAAACTCCACGTGATACCCTTTGTTTATAACTTTTCATTTGTCAAATGCATTCAAGCCAAACTACGGTACAAATGTTATTACTACGAAGTAGTAAGTGTTATTTAATGAAAAAAATCCTGATTTCGCTGTCAAGTCAGTATACAATGTGCATCAAGCTTGCCCTGATTGTCTGGTGGAGTGACTCCTTATGTAGAATTGAATGCAAGCCTTTGAAACGAACTGACAAGTTCCTGTTCATGTTCCTTCGACACATCTTCTAGCATTCCCGGATACTCCTTTAACGTCGGATCGGTTGTACACGCATTTTGAAACAGAACTGGAAGCGTTCGCGCACAAAACTCCATCACCGTTCCTCGTGATTCGTCCTCGCAAGGTCAAATGCCACACCAATCGGTTTCGTCTGTGTCCAATCCACTGAAAATGTCTTCGCCTTTAGAAAAGTCTTGAACATGATGACCATGCGTTTATAAACGAGATATCACCGCGCGACGACTCGTTTTTAAATTACACAGTGGAGTTACCGAGTGCCTTCTTGAGCCTGAATTTCATAGTTCTGGTGTTGGCTACATCCTCTACATTGCTGTAGATTTCTCGCGCGTGTTGGCGATAAGGCACATTTGTATCTTCCCACAAAAATTTGCACGTTGCCTCAAACCTAAATGACTATATAATCTTGCGGACATGTTGGGCGTACTCAATTCTAATATATGGACTAGATCGATGAACTGAAAGGATCTCGATCATGGGTTGAGATGTCATACCACAATCAGCAAACACCCCGTCGATTCGAACGTGCATCCCCTGCGCTAATAGGGCCATAGCTCTCTGTTGCGCCGCGGTGTCCGAAGCGTACGACCGTACCCTTCTCCTAGTCGATAATAGGATCATGCCGCGCAAGCCACGAGATACCCAACACCATGTCGAACTTATCGTCCAAGTCCAGGACAAGAAATTCTTCCACAAACACCTGCTGTTTTACGCTTCTATGTCTTCACGATGACACCTGTTGCCAATCGTACTTCTAACTGACTTCGAGGCACATGCTTCTCCTCGAAGTCCAATAATGGTAGACATTGCTGTAGAACAAAGTTGTTCAACTCTCCAAAGTCCACCAACACCCGAAGAGAGTCCGCTCTCTTCGTCATTGACTTGGCCTTTAAGATGACAAGGTATCCTACACTTTGCGATGAGATTCCCTCTCACTGGTGGCTGCAGTCCTCAATACCGCGTGTCCGTTGTAGACACACGTGACCGCATTATCAGTAGGACGCACTGCGTCTACTGGTTCCTTACGTTTTTTTTGATCGACCGTGACGATAACCAGTATGACTGTTGACAGTCGTTCGAGCGCCTTCCTCTCTGGGTCCGTCAGATGGGGGCAGTCGGTACGTGCCACATGCGTAGCCGACGTGCTCGGGCTTCCGACAGACTTCCCGTCCATCGGAAGCTTCTTTTGCCCGTGTTCATAACTCATACGAACAAGGTAGTCGGTCGTTGGACGGACTACAAAGTGCTATCAGGTGTAGTGAGCCTGGGGCTCACTAGTTAGCTTACACGTGTAGAAGGAGCGTAGATGTTCCTAGCTTGTATAGCTTACACACGATGCGTGTGTACGATAAGACAGGATAAGAGCGCGATAGCGTACAATGAGAACGGTATTGTTGCTTTAAGGAGGTGTCATTAATAAACTGTTTATCACATACCTAAGGGACTGTCAGCGGGTAGCTGATAGTGATTCGCATCGCTGATTGGTAGAGATGTGACGCACTCTACCAATAGGATCCCTTCAAATGCAGTTTTGGTGTGCGAACACACCAAGACGGGAAACCTCTAACTCCAACCGATTAGCGTTACGGTTAGAGTTTCATCTAACCCCGTTATAGATGGTGCCGACGAGAGTTCTTGTCAGAACTTCTTGGATAAAAATTCCGCGATAACTTCCACGTAGATTGCTGATCCGTTTCGTGCCGAATGCGCACCGAACGCTTCCGCTATCAAACCAACCTTGTCTAGAACACTTTGAACGACTCCTCGATTATGCACACCTTTCATGACTTTCAGGAATCAACTGTACTTATTTCCTCCGGGGAAGACTTTACCGTCTTTTGAAAACCCCAATAGAGCAAACTAAATCCCAAAACCAAATACTGGGCATACTTCTGGCTTAATCGGATTTGCATACAAATACCTGGGGTCTCGGGGGCGGCTTCCGTCCAGACGGTTTTTCATAGTGCGCAAACGTTATAGTCACAGCATCTTCACGCCACAAAAGACGTCCATAGACTTGGTGTTTTGAGCACGACACATCAAATTCCAACTAGTGAGAAAGAAATGCATGTCCAAAGACATCTTACTTCCTGGCCGACTGCGACATTGCTTTCGCCCCTGCACTGTACATCGAAAAGCTAAAAGGCTCCTTCCCCTCACAAAGATATGAGAGTTGCTGACTGGAGATGTCGCTCTACCTCTCTCGGTGGTCATTCATGTCATGGTCGTGTCCTAGTATAGCTGGCAAGGCCCACAAGATGGATGGATGGCTTGTGTGATCAAAGGGGGTTTAGGCTGAAAGCTTCCTCCTCGTGCTCGACACGTGTACATGTAGTAAGGTGCGGTTAAGCCGTGGGAATCTTACTTTGAGTTTTACCTCCAACTGCGCAAGTCTGCTATTTTCCTGTTCGCCACTCTCTCGCAGCACAAAGCTGGTAAGACCGACGTTGTTGTTTTGTGCAGCACAGTATGGTGGAAGCCCTTAAAGAAGTGCTGAATTTGTGAATCAAAGTCGCGAAATCGGGAAATTTCTGTCGTGATGTACAAGTATACAAGTGCTGAGCGCACATTTCCGAGCGTGGATTAACCGGTAACCCCACGTTGTTTTATAGAAATCAAATATCTCGGTCAATCTTGCATTGCCAAAACATTCAAAGTTAACGGGCTTCGTAATGGAGCTGTAGAAAACCACATCGTGATTGTATTTGCATTTATGACTTCAAAGTCACGCAATTCATTGGTAAACTAGGCCGGTCGACCATTTACATCCGTGTTAAAGTCAGCCACTCCACGATCTGAACCAACGCTCGCAAAAAATGTACTTTGTCTTTTCCGCCGTAGTATTTTCCAGAACTTCTCCCATGCGCGCATCGAGATCCTCCATCGGAACAAAGTGACTTTTTAAGACAACGTAGATATTTATAGATATTTCGACCAATAAAAACGTGTCGTTCAAAATGCACGACGAATTCCAATCTTTCTATACGTGTAAACTCGCGTAGTGAGTGACACGCCCTGTCAGATATTCATCATGGAGTATTTCGTCTGTTTTGAGCCATTGTTTGAGATGCTAATAGAAGTAAATACTCCAATTATAAAACACCAAATCCAGAGCTTCCCAGTTCTGGAACAAATGTACTCTCGCTCTGGAAACGAACTGGGGTCTACGTCTACATCCAGCAAATAACTCGGAGTCAATCGCTTGCCGATCGTAATTGTGAACTCTCCAGCGTTGTAGCCAATGCCCAGTCCGCGTTTATCCTCGAACCAACTTTTGTCCAGCGCAACAAGACACGGATCGTCCTCTAGTTCCCCTTGATGCTTTTGATCCAGTTGATACATGTAGTAGTTAGCTCTGAGAGTCGATAGAAAGAACGGGTCGGCAGGGGGAATACGCACCTCCTAAAGTTGTCTACGCGTTGCTGCTTTGGGATCTTCTAGGGGTGCTTCCGCTTCGCGGGCTTCGCAGTGGCCTCACCATCAGATTTGCGCTTGGCCATTGTGTTATAGAAACCAATGCCAAGCCTTGCGCGTGAAGATCTGGATTTTATAAAATCTATATTTCAATTAATTTGCAAGTAGTTGCACGTGGCATGCAATGTAGTCCTATGTAG